ACTCGGCCCGTCCGTGCGGGTCTGCCCCAGCCCGGGACGTGCTCCGCTCCCGGCTCTGCGCGAGGGGAGCTCCCACGTAGTGGTGGGGAAGGAGCTGCCGAAATTTTTTCTGGGAGCGCGGAAGTGAACGTGATTCTGCCTCCTTTCTCCTTAGGGAGCTGGGGATTGGAGCACAAGGAGCTCGGGATGTAGCTGGGGTTCACTGCCCTGTAAGCTAAAAGCTTAGGTTCCTTTTGCTGTTTCTTAGGTGACTGTGACCTTTTGACCATGATCTGTAGTACAGTTCAGCTACCAATATTATATTTAAAGCACGTATTTGGGTCTTGGCCTCCGTTTAAATTGAGTCTGCTCACACTCTGAGTAACAGGGGAGGGGGTAAATAGGTTTTGTTGGTAAAGGGGAGGGAGGAGCTCAATATCCTTCTAATGGGAGCAGTGTGTTCTTTATTTACCTAAGTGGATGTCAGACTACCTTCCAGGACAAAATGAGAGATGTGGTGTCTTTTTCCAGTTCGTGGGGATGGGAGAAGATGGGGATGGACGAACTTTTGGGTAGAGAAAAGGGCACTTTGGGTTTGCTGTGGATATTTGAGCTTTAATTCATAGAACGACAAAATTATTTGGATTAGAAGGGACAGTAAGGATCATCTGGTCCCAATCCCTTGCCATGGGCAAGGACACCTTCCACTTTCCTAGCTTGCTCAGAGCCCCATCCAGCCTGGCCTCAGACAGTGCCTGGGATGGGGCAGCCACAGCTGCTCTGGGAAATGGAATTTGAAGCAATGATTGGGCATGTAATTTGTGACAGCCAGACCCCATAGAGTTATGGAACAAGGAAAGTTGTTCATTACTAAACACCTTACAGCGTAAGGTAAGCACAGCAGGGGGATACACAAAAGTGAGAGGATACAAAACCGTAATTAGATATTATTTGTTAGTATGACAGTGAAGAGGCATTATGAAGAGCCTGTCACCAATAATTTTCGCAGAAGTAACAGTAAAAAAGCCAGTGGATAGTTGAAACATATAAATTGTTATTGATTTTTTTTAACTTTCAGGGGCTCTCAAACTGCCTTTCAGGGCAAAATTTGGGATGTAATATCTTTTCCCAGTTTGTGGGGTGTGGAGACAACAGGGATAGGCAGATGTTTGTGTAGCAA